TTAATTTTTTTTTTAATTAACTTTATGTTTTCTCTACACTAATCGATTTGTTTCATTATTTTGTGCACAAAAATATTAAGATATGATTATCAAAAAATGAACAATTTACAAGATATTTTATATTTTATATCAGAAAATGCCACAATAAAATATAAAACTATCTTATAAACTATTGTGGTTTTGATAATTGTATTTTAATATATACAGAATAACTAGGGGAATCATATTATGTAACAAAAAATATATAATAAGAAAATATTTTTGATAAAAATTAAAATGGAACTAATTTTGTTTAAGTAAGTAATGACAATAATAGAATTATTTATCAATGCATTTTTATTTAATATATATAATGTTATATTAAATTATGTAATATTATTGATGTATGATATTTTTCATAGCGTGTACAAAAAAGAAATAAGAAACTTACCTGAGCGACCAAAATTTCGCCAAGAGCGCAGTATAGACACATATGCGCAAATATGTTGAAAACGTTGGAAACAAAATATATCAAGTGAGTGATCGACAAATCATTTCCTTCATCAAATAACTATGTAATTTACATGAAACAAAGACATAACAACTTTGTATTACTTTAGATTCGTAATGTTTATACAAATATTATGTATAAATAAAAAGAATATTTTAACTCTAACATATAATATATGTATTTATCATTTTTTTATATTATTAATGACAAATGTTTATCTAAAATTGGACACTTACGTTAATTATGCGGAAACCATAGAAAGCAAAAAGTATCGCAAAATATACAAACAATGCTAGAAGTGTTATATTATATGTATCTTCAATAATGACAATAGCTCTATAAAATTTATTTACATGTATTATGTGTATTAGATATATTAAATATTGATAAATCTCATATAATTGTTTACAAATTAAAATTTATATAAATTTATATAAATGTTATACCTAAGTAAACGAATGTGTTTTGTTATGCAACTTTTTAACATATCATGAAAATTAATGTATTTATCCAAACATATCAAACGATTCTTGAGAATGTCCAATTGGCCGCATATATGGAAAATTAGTAACCCAAGAAAATTGTCTATTCCAGTATATGACATAATAGCGAGAAGAATGTAAATAGTTTGACTAATAAATGTTAGTTCATATTGCGGTCTTTCAGTTATGTCGTAAATATAATATGTTTGTAGAGGCATTGGTCTGCCTGGATCGGTAATATTAGGCGTTAATCTCATAGATATTCCAAAACCCGGAAGAATGATAATAAAAAAGCATGCTATTCCCATTATGCAGTATGCGCAAGTAATAATGATGCGTGCATTCTGCGCTTTTCTAATCATAACATTTCTGTCTTGTGCACTTTTTGATTTTACCCAATCCTCCACAATCATATTCATGACCGGTATAATAGCTTTAAAAATGTCAATGTTATATATTTCATAGTATATTAAATCGAAATAAAAACTTAGATTCAAGATTAAGTTTAAGTTTTTAAAAAGTGAATAGTAAAAGTAATAAAAATAAAAAAAATAAAATAGAATACATATTATGATTTTGAATACATATTGTGACTTTAACAGCAGAAACAATATGTAGATAAATAATAAAAATAAATTTTTGTTTAATTCTTTGAGATCATTACATAACAATTATCATCACATAAATCTAAATAGATTTCTTACATTATTTATATAAATGAAATTATTTTATTGAACTTATGCAGATATATATTTTATCATATTTTATATTTCAACGATATAATTTTTAATGATGTCTACCTTCTTTTTTCCACCAAAAAATCACAATTCTTATTGAACAACTTATAGCAGGTAAAGTAAATTGCAAATTATCTATCATTAACATAAGATCTCCATAAATTCTTATTAATGAATGTAAAGATGGAATCAAAACGCCACACGTTACTGCCAGGAATACGATGAGTACTCGGAAATTGCACATTAATTTCTCTCGAGTACTTTGTGCAGCTTTAGGCCATAATCCAATAACATCTAAGATGATACGATTTAATTTCACTGCCCATTCAAAATCTACTTATAAAAATTTTAATAAGTCAAAGCTTATATAAAATATTACAACAACATTATATAAAATAATTATGAAAGTGTATAAATAAATTTACAATTAGAATATAACGAAATAATGTATAATTATATATATATTATAATTATAATTATATATATATATATATATATATATATAATAAATATATATATATATATATATATATATATATATATATATATATATATA